ATGTAGGCATTTAAGGCTGTGAATTTTCCTCTGAGGAATGCTTTTGCTGTGTCCCATAGATTTTGATAGCTTGTGTCCCCTTTGTCATTCAGTTCCTTCAAAGAATTTTTTGATTTCCTTCTTAATTTCATTCTTGACCCAATAATCATTCAGCAGCAGGTTGTTTAATTTCCATGACTTTGTGTAGGTTTGAGTGTTTCTCTTGTAATTGATTTCTAGTTTTACCCCACTGTAGTCTGAGAAAGTACATGGTATGATTTTGATTTTTTTGAATTTGTTGAGACCTGTTTTGTGGCCTAAGATATGATCAATCTTGGAGAATGTCTCATGTGCTGCTGAGAAGAATGTGTATTTTGTAGTTTTTGGGTTAGAGTGTTCTGTAAGTGTCTGTTAGGTCCAGTTTATTTAGAGTTTGGTTTAAGTCCATTGTTTCCTTATTTATTATCTGCTTTGATGATTTGTCAAGCTCTGACAGTGGGGTGTTGAGGTCCCCGGCAATTATGATGGTGCTATTTATTTCTTTGCTTAGCTCTTGTAAAGTTTGCTTTATGTATCTGGGAGCCCCTGTGTTGGGCGCATATATTGATATATTTAGGATTATTATGTCTTCTTGTTGAATTGCTCCCTTTACCATTATATAATGACCCTCTTGGTCTTTCTTTACCCTTGTTGGCTTAAGGCCAATTTTGTCTGATAAGAGAATGGCTACACCTGCTTTCTTTTGATTTCCAATTGCATGGAATATTTTTTTGTATCCTTTCATGTTGAGTCTGTGTGTGTCCTTGTGGGTTAGATGTGTTTCCTGAAGACAGCAGATACCTAGGTTGTGTTTTTACCTCCATTTAGCCAGCCTGTCTTTCGAGAGGAGCATGCAGTCCATTAATGCTGAGTGATAGAATTGGTATGTGGGATGTTGATCTGTTCATCCTGTTGTATAGTCCCTTATAGCTATGTTTTACCTCTTGTTCTGTTATAAGAGTTGTGAGTTTTGGGGGGTTTTTAGGTAAATTTACACTAGTGAGTATCTGTTGTGTATAGTGCTCTTCTGAGTATTTCATGCAGGGCAGGTCTGGTCATAGCAAATTCCCTCAGCATTTGCTTGTTGGAAAAAACTTAATTTTTCTGTCAATTATGAAACTTAGTTTTTTCAGGATATAAATTCTAGGCTGACAGTTGTTCTGTTTAAGTTGATTGAAGATGGGGCCCCAATCCCTTCTTGCTTGTAAGGTTTCCTCTGAGAAGTCTGCAATTAGCCTGACAGGTTTTCCTTTGTAGGTTATATAATGCTTTCATCTTGTTTCTTGCAGAATTTTCTCCTTCATTTTGACTTTGGCCAGGTTGATTACTATGTGTCTTGGAGGTGACCTATTTGCTAGGAATCTTTCTTTTGTTCAGTGTCCATCTTGTATCTGTATGTTGAATTCCTGGCAATACCAAGGAAGTTTTCCTCAATAATTCCCTCAAATAGGTTTTCCATGCTTTTAGCTCTTTCTTCTTCCTCAGGGACACCTATATTCAAATGTTAGTTTACTTCACATAGTCCCATATGTCTCTCAGTAATTGCTCGGACTTTTTAATACTCTTCTCTGCCTTTTTGAATGACTGGGTTATCTCAAGACCCTTGTATTTAAGCTCTGAGATTCCTTCTTGGTTTAGCCCGTCATTAAAGCTTTCTTCTGTGTTTTGAAATTCCTTAAATGACTCTTTCATTTCTTTAAGTTCTATTATGTTCTTTCTTATGTTGTCTAGCTCTCTAGTGACTTTTTCATCGATTTCCTGAAATATTTTTTTGGCGTCTTTTTGTTGGTTTTCAACTTTCTCTTCAGTTCCATTCATCTTATTTGCCGTCCATATTCTGAATTCCATTTCTGTCATTTCAGCAATTTCCTTGTGGGTGGAGTCCAGTACTGTAGTTCAATTGTGTTCCCTTGTGAGTGTCGAACTATTTTGTATTTTCATGTTGCCAGGGTTCTTTTGCTGGTTTCTTCTCATCTGGCTCCTTTTCTCTCGGCTCTGGGTTAATAGAATTTCAGGGCACCTGTTCTCTGTTGCTGGAGATTCTCTCGAACCAAGTACAAGGGTGATGGCTGCTTAGGGCTGGGTGGTCCTGAGTGAAGTGTTGGACCTTGGGTCCAACGGTAGTGGTGGCCCAGTGGTAGTGGTGGGGACTCAGTAGTGGAGTCTTGGGGTCCAGACACAGCTCTGGAGTCTCAGGGGTGGCGTTGTAGGCCCAGCAGGGGCCCTGGAGCTACAGGGGCAAAGCCTCAGACTCAGGCACAGTGAGAATCGGCTCTGGGTATTTCAGGGGCAGAGCCACCCATGTGGGGGGAGCTGTTCCACCAGTGTGGGGACTGCTGATGCCCAGTTGCACAGGCAAGAATTTGTCTTAGTCGCCCAGGGTCCGTTTGGCAGACCAGAGCTGCTGCTCAGTCAAGGTTCTCCCCCACCACCTAGGACCCACTGAGGTGGTTGTCCCAGGCTTTCCAAGTGGTGCCTCTGGTGTCTAGGGCTTGTCCTCTGTGCAGACTGGAGGATGAGCCAGCTGGGGAGAGGCGCCACTGGCCAAATTCTCAGCTCAAACCGCATTCCTGGTTACAGTGGGTGGTGGAGGGGCTGGGAAGGCCAAGAGTCTGAATGGAAGAAAGCTGCTCTCCGGCCTCTTAGGTCACTCTCCTTGGAGGGGAACTGTGCACAGAATGTCCAAACTCTGGGATCACGCAAGTTCTCCCCGCAATTCCATGGTCACCATATTGCTTGGGCTCATGGGGGTGGAAAAGCTTCCAGGTAACTTGGTAGCCCGCTGATCACTGAAGGAGTGTGGGAGGAAGAAAGGGATCCCCCTAACCCCTTCACTGGGCTCCGACCCTCTCTGGGTTTGCTCCTCGCTGATATCTTCTTTTCCTTTATCCTCTTGCTTTTCTGCTTCGCAGTTTTCCTCCATGAGGTCCCCATCAGGCTCTGGTGCTTCTCTCTCTGACCTACACCTGAGCTGTGTTCCCTCTCCCCTCCTTTCTCTGAAACCCTTCCTTCACTCCCGGTCTGGCAAGCGATGTCTCTAGTCAGCCATCTTGCCCCCTTCTTCACTTGCTAACTTTGATTCTGGGCCTGGAGGGTTGAGGTTGCAGTTGTGCCAAAGAAAGGAAATGAGTCAAGCAAGTTGTAAAGATGTTTATCGGCCCAGAATTAAACTGCAGAGACAGGGACAGCTCCTGTCCCTGGTTGGCAGTGTAAGGATGGCAAAATAGAACCCAGTAAAAATAGAAAGCATACACCCAGTCAGAGTAGAGTGCTGTTGGAGTTTATTTCTCTCGGGACATTGATGTAATAGAGATCAAGTCTGCAGAACTCTGAGACGGCCCAGGAATGTTGCTATTAGGTTGAGGCATTCCAGGGCAAAAAAAGAATTTGGATGGGCTCCATACAGACAAGAAACAAAAAACCCTATAGAACATAGGAGGGTGGCTTCAATAGGACAAGTTAAGGAAAAGATGGATAAAAACAAAGGTAGGGGGTAAGCCTTTTTGCAAAGTGCCCTTCTCTTCCCACCTTCTTTTGGGATAAATGAGCAAGAGATAGGATCAATAAGGGAATGGGGTTAAGTGAGACCCCTTCTTATAAGAGCAAGGAGAGTGCCTGGCGTGGCTCCTGGAGTTCTGTGGCAGGCGGAGGGCACGGGCGGCAGGGTCATGCTGATACCCCGTGGGGAGGATCCGAGGCCACTCTGTAGAGGACAGAGGGGAGTAAGGCTGCAGGTGCCTGCTCTCTCACTTCCCAGTGTCTCCAACTCTGCAAGCAGGTGTCAGGAAGCCCCAGGACATTCTTCCCTCTGCCAGGGAATCCCAGGAGATTCAGTTACACACTCGAGGGAGAAAGAGCACCCTGGACAAATATTACAGAGTGTAAGGGAGTTTGGTTATGGTAGATCCACGAAGGAAGAGTGGGGAGCTGGGCAGTGGGGTGGGAACCTCTGTTGTCCCAATATTTCCAGTGTCCTTGTTCTAGTGTGTTCTAGAAGGCTTGCAGCCTTCTCCCAATTTTGTAACTGACCCAGTCCCCAGGGAAGACATGTTGTTATAACTGCCCCATAAATGGACTGCCTGGCAAGATGAGTGCATTTTAAAAGTTATAACAAGGGCATTTTGGTCCATTCAATAAAGTTAATTGGGAGGGCCTGTCTGCTCTGCAATCTTGGGAAGAAGTTCTATATAGCTTTAAGGGAAGAAGTGGGTACAGCCGCAGAAGCATTTTAAAATGCTGAGAAACAGGGCCACAGCTGGAGGACACCGAAGGAGTGGGGTCAGGCAGACAGCCCTGCAGTTCACATGCTGCTCAGAGAACCAGATGATGTCAGCAGCGAGGGCATTTTAACTCACTGAGGATGCAGTCTCTGGCAGCTTCTGTGTGCGTTGCCACAGGCATTCGTACTCTGCTGAAGCTGTCCTGGGCGTCTCCACCAGACGCTGCAACTGACTCCAAGCAGAGTCAACACTCAACAGGCAGCTGTGAAAGGAATGACCCTGCCACCTAGCAAAGCAGCAGGAGTTTGAACTGTGCCAACCAAAGGCCTCCTGGGTCATAGGTATTCTCTTAGGTTCCAGGATGGCCCACAGAGGCTGTGCCATCATTTAGGACTTGAACTTTTTCATCTTTTTTGGGTTTGTTTGTTTTCCCTGGCAAGTGGATTCCAAACATCTTTTTTGGGTTTTTAAGTCAATCTTCTCTCAAGAAGGAAAGTCCAGTGAAGCAGGTTTGCTTCTGTTTTCCTTGCCTACCACGCTGATTCATCTCCATGACTTCTCAGGGCCATGGGAAGCCCTGAGGAAGGCCTGGAAAGTGGCTGGGAACAGTTGTTGTCACGCTGTAAAAAGGGGAGGAAGGATGAACAAGAAGGCCCAGATGGTGAGGAAGAGGGGACGGGCCGGCAGGAGTGGCTCCTGCTTGGTCTCTCTCCGGTGTCCTCCTAACCGCCTTGTGCCTGTCTTGCCTCCTGTCACCTGCAGCCGACTGGGAAGGTGCTTCCTGACAGCCGGCTTGTTCAACCCCTGGTCTACATGGAGCGCCTGGAACTCATCAGAAATGTCTGCAGGGACGAAGCCCTGAAGAATCTCTCGCATACTGCTGTCTCCAAATTTGTCCTGGACCGAATATTTGTCTGTGACAAGCACAAGATTCTTTTCTGCCAGACTCCCAAAGTGGGCAACACCCAATGGAAGAAAGTGCTGATCGTTCTAAATGGTACACGTGTGGCCAGCAGACGTTTGTTTGTGATGTCCAGGGCTGGCCTGGGGAGGGTCCCAGGGGCCTGGGTGGGGGACAGCAGAGAGGAGTCAAAGAAGGGGGTGGTTTCTCTTGAATGACTGGCAGCCCCACAAACAGTTCCCTGTTGTTGCTGTTTCCTGTTAGTCTTGTACCTTGAAAGTTGGTGGGGTCACTGTGAACACTGATTCTTTCCAGAGGGGCACAGGCAGGGTCAGGATCTCCTTGCCTTTCACAGCAGAATCCCCACCACAGGCAGTTTGCCCACACTGTGGGTCTCTTGTCTTCTCTTCAGCTTCCTGAGCTGATTCTCACAGCCATGTGCTCTGTCCTGAGTGAGTTAGGGGCCCTCACAGTCCCTCTGCAGTGAGCCATGCCCCAGAGCCTGCAAGAGGACCCTGCCACAGGGCCCGGGGCCTCCTCAGCTGCAGACACGTATTCTGTGCCAGTTGGTAGAAAGAAATTGTCCCCCATTTTACACTAAGCATCTGTATTCAGAGGATTTAGTCAACTTGCTTCAGGAAATCTGGTGTTTGCTAGATAACAAATTAGATCATCAAAAAGTGGCCTCATGCACTACAGTTTTGATTACTCACCACTCTTCAGGTACCATATTTGTTTGCTTAAATTCCAGTTAGTCTGAACTGATCCAAGATAATTATGGGCTCTGTCTGTTAAATTCAGTTTCGAAAGGAACTTAGCTCCAGTTGACAGCAGTGGGCCTCCCAGATTAGGAATCAGACCTTGGGGCCCTGAGGTGGGTGGCCTTGGGGCTCCTTGTCCTCCAGATGCTGCCCTCAGGGTCAGCGGTGGTCAGCATTGGTCATCGTTGGCTTCCGTTTGGCCTTTACACAAGTTGGTTGGGGGAGAAAAGGGTCTTGTGGTCATCAGATATATAATTAATGTGCTCTGGAGTAGTCTGATAGCATATTGTGGTTTTGAAATTGGAGAACGAAGTTACAAATCAAATTGAAAGTAAGGACTATGCAAGAGTAACAAATAGGCCCCCACAGTGTAAAGTATCATACTTTAAAGAAGTAAACAGCCACTTACAAGGGCAGGATGGAAATAGGAGTGGGCTTGTCAGGTCATATAATGAAGAAGCAGGCGTTCCTTGTGTCTGTGTTCAGTCATCCATAGATGCACCTGGACGGGAACAGGTCCGCAGGTGGGTCCAGGTGCAGATCCACAGAGCTGTCCTTCTGTCATCCGCTTCAAAGCCAGTGCTCCTCTTTCTCATTTCACAGCCATGCACAGCACACAGCACAGAGTTCTGTGTGGGGCTTAAACATCTGGGGGAGGAATGAGTGAAACAGACAAGGCTATGGCCACCACTCAAATGGCCCAAGAGAGACGGTTTCCTGCCAGGACTCTGATCTTAACATGACAGGGTTAGCAGAAAGATGGATGTTAACGTTTGCAGAGGCTTAGCTAAAACCTTCTTGGCATAATGACAATATATTGCCATTTGCCTACATTGAGAAGAGTGAAAAACCTGCCCTGCCATGAGCCCTGGGATGCCCTCCCAGGTTCCATTCAGCAGCCTGGACCCAGCACTGAGCCCAGATGACAGACTCTGGCTGCTGACAGTGCCTGCCTTCCCCTCAGACATGTTGTGTCCTCCTCTGACTCCTGTCTCAGATGTATCACAGCTCCCACAACTGGCCAGATTTTTCCAGCATCAGAAGTCTTTGCCACTTGCCAGTCTGAGATGATGCAAGGGTACCTGAAAACCACTGTAGGCCTGGGGGATGTGGTGCTGGGAGAGCTCAGCCTGTCAGCAGTGACCAGGCCGTGACGGTACAGTGGGTGTGCGTTAGCGCTGTGTTGCGCAGTCCTGCTCCTCTGGCACTTCCCTCCAGTCTCAGAGCGGGATAAGTATTGCTGGTGTTAGAATTCTGTTTGCATGCAGTGATCTTCCTTTAATAGCAGATTTAGCCCAATTAGGTGCATTGCCAGGGGCAGGCACTGCCAGTATTTCTACTCTTGGTCCTTCCTCCTTCCTCCCCTAATCATCAGTTTCCTCCGGTTGGCTTATGGATTCCCAAAAGCTTTACTTCACTGTCTCATCCTGCGGGCAGAAGCAGTTGGAAGTCAAAGACCTAAATTAAGATAATCAGGGGCAGGCTTGTCATGCATGCCATGGGGAGCATGGGGCCCAAGGAAGGAGACGGACAGGCATTTTCTCTGAGGGCTGCACCGAGGCGGCCAACACACCTTCTGTTCTGTTTACTTCCCAGGAGCTTTTCCTTCCATTGAAGAGATCCCCGAAAATGTGGTTCATGACCATGAGAAGAATGGCCTCCCTCGCCTCTCTTCCTTCAGCAGTGCAGAAATTCAGAAGCGGTAAGAGTAGCTTCCTGAAATGGAAAGGGGGGATTTTGAAAAAGTGAGAAGAAATTTTGAAAAAACCGTAGGCTCGGTTCTGTACTTGCCAAGTGTTCCAATTCGCTCCACGGGCCCCTGGGGACTGTCGGTTTGTGTCCGTGGGAGGTAGCCAAGCCTATGCCCAGCATTCAGCGCACTTAAACTCAGATCCTTGCTTGAATCTCTGAATGTGTTCCCCAGCTTTGCCGTCACACAGTCCATTAAAATGAAATTTCATTAATAGAAATGAGTGGTCAACTTTGTTCTGCTTTGGTATTGTTAAGTTTTGTGGATTTCTTGCTGAATATGATCTTTGCTTTATACGAAAGGGATTTGGGTTGGAGGGAGACCCCACTGAGCTTTTCGTTTTCCCAGAGGCCTTGTGCCTGCCACCATGGGAACTTCCTCCAGAGTGGTGTCATGGGCTGGACCCCACACAGGCAGGGCCAAGAGACAGACCCCTGATTGCAGCAAGGGTGGAGTCCTTAGCTAATAAATGGGAAAGTTCCCCATATGAGCTACCAGATGGCCCCGGGGAGCAAGGTTTAAAAAGAATAAGAATGCAGAAAGCAGTGACTGCCAGGCCGCCAGCAGGGCTTTGCCCTCCCGTGCCCTACACCACGTCTGGTCCTGGTGGATTCAGTCTGCCCAACTCTACAGACTCCATGAGAGGTGCTCCTAGGGAAGGTGCCCTGTCATCACCTAGGCACTTCATAGGGCTTTTGTGAGACTAGCTAAGACACACAAAGCGAGGAAAGCCGTTTCTGGCGTGTGGTAAGCATGCCTTAATGCATTGATGGTATCACTGTTCTTGTCATTATCACTGCTGCCGTCCTCCTTGCCAGGACCGCTGCTCTGCTGCTGCTCCGATGGCCACTTGCCAGGCCCCTGCTCCTGCTGGCTGTAGGGTGAAGCCTCGCTCTCCATTTTCTCATTCCCCCCCGCCCCATGCCCTTCTGTCTTACTCTTCCTTCCTCTGGCAATTTTGAGTTGAATATTTAAAGATATGCCCTTAAAGTAACTTTCTCTGGTCTCAGCTATTCCTGATTCACTCAGAGTTCCTGCCCTTACAGTTTTCTGCCCAGGAACAAAACTTTAGACATTCTTGAAGTCTTAAATTATTCAAGTAAATAAAACATAGATTAAATAGATGTCTTTACAGTGACCCCCTAGGATGAGTACTATGGCCTTGGACAGTCAAGATTTTCCAAGCCTCCATTTCTTCACCTGTAAAATGGGTTAATCCACAAAATCTCGGGGTAGGTCTAGTAAGAGATGCATGGCAGGACTTTGCCCAAGTGAGGGTTCAGCAAACGGCAGCAGCTGCTCTGTTTGTTCTTCACTCTTCCCACCCTCTCCACCATTATTACCTCCAGTGGCATTGAGTTAACCCTGTTTGTTCTCATTTTTTTCTTTAGCTTGAAAACATACTTCAAGTTTTTTATCGTAAGAGATCCCTTTGAAAGACTTATTTCTGCATTTAAGGATAAGTTCGTTCACAATCCTCGGTTTGAACCTTGGTATAGACATGAGATTGCCCCTGGCATCATCAGAAAATATAGAAGGAACCGGACAGAGACCCGGGGGATCCAGTTTGAAGATTTTGTGCGCTACCTGGGTGATCCAAACCACAGATGGCTAGACCTTCAGTTTGGGGACCACATCATTCACTGGGTGACATACGTAGAACTCTGTGCACCCTGCGAGATAAAGTACAGTGTGATTGGACACCACGAGACCCTGGAGGACGATGCCCCATACATCTTAAAGGAAGCCGGCATAGACCACCTGGTATCCTACCCAACCATCCCTCCGGGCATTACCGTGTATAATAGAACCAAGGTGGAGCACTATTTTCTGGGCATCAGCAAACGAGACATCAGACGGCTGTATGCGCGTTTTGAAGGAGACTTTAAGCTCTTTGGGTATCAGAAACCAGATTTTTTGCTAAACTAATGCATAGGACCAGCAAATTCACATATCTTTGTTAGACCAGGGGCTAACCAGGTGGAGGTCTGAGCACAGAAGTGACACTTCCTCCATCACACTTCTTTTAGAACTCCCGAGGGCTCCTGTGGGCCTGTGAGCACCATGGCAAATGATACTGGACCCTGACTGTTATGACTTAGTTTGGATATAAGATGCACCGAGGGTCCCGTACCACCCCCGCCACCGGTGTCATTAGGATGCCTCTGGCCTTCGCTGTCCTCAGAGGAGAGAAAAGACTAAACGTTTGCATCCGACAGACCCTCAGAGAGGAACACTACCCAGCATCGGGAGCCACCTCCCTCAGCCATCAAAGGGATCACAGCCGGGGCTCTCCTGGCTGGTCAGGGGTGTCCCGGCTGTCACCAGGGGATTGCAGGAACGGCACCCAGCACTTTCAGGAGGGATGGAGAAGCCAAGGGGCTGCACAAATCACGGAAGCTCACATAGCATCACATCTGAGGAACAAAGTGACACCTCTGGCTTTCATCTTGGTGCGGCTGTGATCATGGAGGCAGACCATTCTTTCATGATGACTGTGTTCCTGGGACATTCAGTGGTGCCCCGAGGTGGTTTCCAGCAGCCCATGTTTTCAGAATCCATGTCTGCTAAGCTGGTCCGTGTTTCTGGGCCTCATCTGCTAAGCGCCTCTCTCACTCACCACGAGAGATACAATTTTGGAAAGTGAGGCGAGTTCCACCTGAGAGGAGGAACATCTTTGGGGGCCGTAAAAGGAACATGGCATGGGAAAGGGAGAGCCGGCTGGGCCTTGGGGCTCAGGCTGCTGTGGATTTGAGTGTGTCTGTCCTGACTTGTCCTTCCTGGATGGGCAGCATGGGGTCTCCACCAGGGACCTCCCAGCACTAGCAAGGGCAGCATGCCAGCATCTCAGAACTCAGTGCAGTTTAGACATTTCAGTTCCTTTCATCTCAGCAAAACGCATACCACAGGGCCCATTTCTGATAATGCCTCCGTCCTGGACTCCATGGCTAGAAGTAGGGCAATCAGGTTCACCAGCAATAAAATCCTGGCTGAGGCAGCCTCCAGGAACGTGTCTTCCAGGCACTGAGGCAGGCCCCGGTGAGGAGCAAGCCACAGCGACGCAGATGCCGTCCAGCAGCCAGGGCCGTGGAGAGACGATAGGACAGTTTCCTAAGATGGGTCCCCAGCGCTCAGGTGTGCGTGGCGCCACTGAACCCAGTGCAGGAGGAGTGAGCTGGGCTTTTCCTAAAGGCAGCCTCAACCCTCCTTTTCTCAAAATGGTTTCCTACATATGTAAATGTGAAAGTAAAATAAAATTTAAAATATGTGCCAAACCTGTCACGGGCTGCAGTTCCTAGGGAAGGTGCTCCCAGGCCACTAGTTCCCCTGCCCCCAGGCCAGTGACGGGCAGACAGGCCTGGGCACACACAGGCTGCTCAGGACGGACCTCCGGAGGGCAACGGGGCCCTGCCTTGCGTCCGTCCGTCCTCAGTTAACTCACCAAGGATGTGACACGTGGGTTGTTTTCCTGTAAGGTTTTAGCAGAGTCTTGTTAAAATTTCAGACCTAATGAGCCGATTGATTACCTCTTTCCTATTTGAAATGTAACAGTGTTGAATAAGGTATGTGAATTTAAGGCCTTAAAGTTAGTCCTAATTAAAATAGCATTTTCTCTCAGAAGCAAAAGGTTGGCCACCTGGGTTGGTTGTGTTTTTTTTTCCCTCCCTATCAGCATTTGGGTTAATTTCCTAACATATTTTGTTGAACAAGTAGAGATTGCTGCCAGAGTGCCTCCTGCACATGTCACAGTATGTCCAGAACAAGGACACCCCACCCTCGCCCTTAGCTGTGGCACCTGGCACCACGCGCAGTTCCTGGACCCACGCGCAGTTCCTGGACAGCGCCCCCCACCCCTGGGGGGGGCAGCCCCTCAGCCTCCACGGAGGTCCCCAGACTTCCTTCTGAGTCCCCAGAATCCGCTTCCTCCCTTCTCAGCCCTAAGCATGTGGTCCTTCTCCCTCTGCCCCTGAGTCACTACCACAGTCTGGGGACTCTGTTCCCAGCCGGGCCCCCTCAGGGTTGAGGCCGGGGCTGGGGGCGCAGTCCACTCCCAGGCAGCAACACCAGGGAAGGGGCAGCCGGGGGCTGGAGAGGACAGGCCCCCTGGGCAGTCTCCGCAGTCACGGAGCCTGGGTGTGAAAGAGACGGAAGCAGCAGCTCTGCCTCTAAAAAGTGGTCTTACAGCCAGGAGGGCAATTTCTAAATTTAAAAGTTTAATAACATTAGTTGACTTAATGGGTCTGTGTCATTAATTGCTTCTCTCGCACTGGGTTTCGCTCCTCCTCACACATTCCAGATTTATTGGTTGTGTTGAGAACCCCAACAGTGTAGTGTCCCAGCTGAGATGAGACCTGATTTTCATGGTGGCTGACTGGGTACATGCAGAGGTGTTCGGACCACTGTGTGCAGGGGACCCAGGCGGCCTCCACTTCAGGTTCCTGGGGAGAAGAGCCTCCTACCAGGGAGGGGGTCCCAGAGGGTTACTGGGGGATGATGCACCCCCGACCCCACTTCCCCACTCTGAACCCCAGCATGGGTGGCTTCGCCAAGATATCCAGACAAGGGGACCAGCAGAAGCCTGGATCGGAAGGGGAAGAGTAATGAATACAGCACATAAATGCGAGGCAAAGGCAGCCTGCCATCTATCTGACTAAATTTAAATTACTCAACATATGTTTTCCAAGTCCCTTGGACATGCCATGCCCTGCACAGGGGGTTGGGCTCCCAGAAGAGGCATGGGAGGTGCTGGGACAGGGCCGCACCTGTCCGGTCGAGTCGAGGGAGGAGGCTCCCGGCGGACTTGGCAGGAACATGGGGGAGGATTATAGAAGGTGCAGCCGGCAGGAGACGACCCCCAGGGATGCAGCTGTATTCAGGGCATGGCAGATGGGTCAGCTGTGGTTAATTTAGGAGTCCAGGCAGGGGAAGGCTGGGCAGCATCACAGAGGGTTTCAAGGGGTGTGCTAGGTGTGTGGCGTTAAAACGCGCCGTCTTGGGCACGTATCTGAGTTTGTTAACTTGCTAGCAAAGTGACAAGAGTGCACCATCTCAGGGCATGGAGACAGAAGGGCTGAAAGCCAGCATAGGATCAGAAAGAGCTCATTAGAAAAGTAAGCAGCCGGTTAGGAAAGGGTCCCAGGTTCACTTCAGAGGCTCAGAAAAGTATCACATTCCTATCAGACTTCACAGAAGAAACGAGGAGCAGGCTGGTCCAAGATGCCCTGTATTGTTCTTTCATTTCTGATCGATAGATATTAAGAGATACTAAGAGGGAAAGAATAAGATCCATCTGAGGCTGCAAATCAGCCTGTGGGGGCCTCTGCCCAGCAGTGTCCAAGCTGGGAGGAGCAGGAGCAGGGAGGACAAGGGCATTGTGGGGTGGGAGCTCTGACCTTGCTCAGACTTCTGCCAGGGCTTTTCTCTGGCTACAAGGAAAGAAGCAGCATAAACAGAATGTCAGTTTCTTAGGGTGGGGACAACTTTCTTTATCTGACGGTAGTTGGTGGAGCATCAGCTCAGGGTTCTCCACAGGGATCTGTGTGTTGTGGGGAGAACCAGAGCAGTGCCAGGTGCAACAGCCCGGGGGGCAATCCTCGCCCCATGCACAGATGCTCTAGGGGGCTCCCTCCCCTTTCAGGGAGAGCCCCGGCAGGCAGCCCGAGCACCTGGGAAAAGAGGCAGAAGTGGAGTGTTCTAGCCTGTGGCAAGGCGTGCCATGGACCTAGACCAGGGACGTTTGGGGAACTTGAAGAGAAGAGTTCAGGGTGGCTGACCTGCTGCTGATGAGGACGAAGGTGGCATAGAGGAGGCAGGACTCCACAGGGGCCAGGTGGTGCATTCAGGACCGTGGGCTTTATCTTACATGTGCAGCCAGCCATGGAAAGGTTTTAACTAACAGTTCCAGGGCTCTGATTTGTCTTGGAGAAAGTTCATGGGGGCCACAGTGGGGAGAACACGTTGGAGAAAATAAAAACCTGAGGCTGGGAGACCTGCCAACGGGCTGGTACAGCCACCCAAGGGAGACGGTGGTGACTGCACTAGGGGGTTTGCAGTGGGCAGGGAGAGTGCAGAAGAGGCAGACGGGTGTGACCAGCACCCTGGACCAGCCTCACCTCTGGACACATGAGGGCAAAGGGTGCGGCCCACACTGAGGAGGAGGGCCAAGCGGAAGTGCACAGGGGGAACTGGAATAGACCAGAACGGGGCTGGGGCTGGGGGCGAGAGGAGGGCGTGTCCCCATGGCTAGAGGAGGGCCTGGAGGGAGGCTGTGCACGTATGGAAGCATAGCAAGTTGGTGCCTAGAGGGGGTGTGGCTGTACTCTGCAGGCAAGTTTGGTGCCATTATTTAGGTAATTGGGGAGGATTTAATTTTATTATGGAAATTTAAAAATACATGCCCAAGTAAAATAGTCACTGAACTCCAGTTAGCTCTCAGCTTCAGCAATTTTCCTGACATGTTCCCTTTAGCGTTTCATCTACCCCTTGTCCTGCTCACTCAGGGTGGCCTGCGCGGTGCACACACCTAAGAGGCTCAGATTGGGGATTTGAGCCCCAGCACTTTGACACCAGACCCCACAAGAGTGGCTCCGAGCTACATGATGCTGACTCAGATCCATTGTTTTCACCCTGATGTTCTTCAGGTTTCATTGCCCTTCATTCACTGACCACAGACTGAGGGCCCCAGGTGGCATGGGCCCCCCAACTCTGTGGTGCCCAGCAGCTTCCCTTGGCTTCTTGGCTTTGCTCTGCCACTCACCACAGTGTCTATTCCAGCCTTCTCCGTTTTCTCAAACTTCCACTCCACTGTCTTACTGTCAGCAGACGATCTGGTCCCCTGCAGAGAAACCAGATGCCCTGGGATGAGCGCTTCTCCAGCATCTTGGTGTTAAATCTGCACACTCTCTGCATCACACACCCGTCTGCCTTTG